CGATGGTTATTCGTAACAGTAAATATAACTAGTGATCAAGATCGATGGTTAAAATTTAAAAAAAATAATATTTTTAGGGCATTTTTTAGTCCACATGCTATAATACGTTGACATATTTCTCTTTTCAAATATAATTTGGCAAACACACATTTTCATATGAAATAGACAAAATATAAAAGTCCAACTTTGAGAATTAGGGATAAAATAAATATAATGCACCTACTCATATAAACACATAATAATTAAATCTAACATATTGTTGTGTAAACAATGTCGGGTCGGACGTTGAGGTTTAGGTCCAGGCACCTGAAGTATCAAACGCTCATTTCAATTCATATAATTAATCTCGTGAACGGATAAACACAAAGCGATTTTGCTTATCTAGCCCTTATCCAAGGTGATTGTTTATTGTTTCGTTGCAAAAAAGATCAGTTCCTAGAATTTTAAGGATAGGAAAATTTTTATCTGTTTTGTTAATTCATTTGTAACAGTTCAGATTTGATTTATTGGGTATTTCGTTTATTTTTATAAAAGATTAATGTAATTATCTAGAGATAAGGATCCCTTTTAATCGGGAAAAAAACTTTTTTTTGTAGGAAATGTATTTTAGATAATTTCGCGTAAAGTTTATGTAATAAGCGTCCTACAGCGAAGCTTACATTGGTTTATCGAGGTTCCAAGCGTAATCGGTAAAGAAATTTCGATTTGTTAGAGAAGGGAAGTCCGTTTAAATACCAGAGTTTTTGTCTAGAATAGGCCGTTTTGTCGCTGAGTTGCTGTCTTTAAATTGAGATGCCGCGCGTCTTTAATTTATAGTTTGTTCGACAAAGAAAAGTCAGCAGTCAAGAGTCCAGCCTAGTTGGAGTTGAAGTTTTTAAAGAAATTGTACGTAGCAACTTTTCGGTATCTTATTCCTTTGGAAGAATTATGTATTTCAGTGATGTGTGACGGCGTCTCATGGCGAAACGTTGTGGTTTAGATATTTCGTTGGATTTGCGTTATCGTCTTTATTATCCTGAAGAAAATTTTTGAACGTGGAGGTGAATGAATTTGAAATGCATTTTTACCAATTTGGCACTGCGATTCTAAATTAGTAAACTATCCTTAAATTTATGTAGTGACGACAATTTGCTCGAACATAGAGTCCTGTGAGAATTTGACGTTCTTGGTGTATAGGGATTAAAATATGTTTTAGCGGTTTCTTCCTTAAAGCCCCTTTTCAATTGTTGAATGGCACCAGCAGATGCTACTTGTGGTATTTTAGAAGTGTGCTACTTAATATATTTCAATTAATTAAGAATAGCATTTAGGAAATTTGTAAAATTGGTTACTAACGTTTTAGAACAATATTCTTGTCACTGAATATCTTCCGAAAGAAGTTGCTTTGAAGAGTTTCGGGTGATCCTGCAAATTTTCGGTAAATTTTTTGTGAAGTTTACCATATAAAGTGTTAGAGATGATATATCAAAGTTATCTTCATACATAGAAGTTAAGCTTCTCATAGAACAAGCCGGTTTTCGCTCAGGAAGAAATTGCTGCGATCGGAACAAAATGTGTAGATTTTGTTTTAATTGGTAAGACCGATTTCAACGGCCGATAGTAAAAAAATAATTTATCAGTTTTGTAACCGTTCCCGTAAGAATTATTACCTGTAACTAATCAGATGTGTCGCAACAAACGGCGTCTGATTATAGACTGTGTTTACTGTTATTGGAAACGCGCTAAATTATAAAGATTTTTTTATTATACCTGAATCACAATCTCCGTTTTAAACACTCAAATGCGTGCGAAAAAGGGCCTTTAAAACACACGTGCTTTAAAGTTGCTAAGTAACGATACTTCAAGTATGACTTTTGAAACTGTCATCTGGATGAAATAAAAAATCCTCTTAGGTCGCTTTCTGTAAATGCAGAACATTTCTTTGGCTTTTGTACCTATCCTTTGGTTGAAGCTTTCACAAACGCGCGTAATTTAAGGTATGCTTCCAAATCTGTTCCCCTTTTTAATCGCAGCATTGCTTTAAAGTTTTGAATGAATGCACCAAAATATAGATTTAAATACCTTTGACATTTCCTTCATATATGCCAGCATTATGGATGCATTTAAGACTGTATTCGTAAGTAACTTCCTATTCATCCATGGAAACAACTTTTCATATTCTTTATAATAGGCTTTAAGCTTTACTGGAGTTGGATTTTACACCTACCAACGTTTGTTTAGATTTTACAACAATCGATTTAATGGGCGGTGTATTATTTTTTTCAACGGAAATCGTTTAATTCACAAGGACGATGATAAGCAAACGTCAAGTGACATTTCCATGGCAATCGTGAAATTACGAACACCCAGCCCACTTAATTAGACATGTATTCGAGTATAACGTCAATATGACTTCATTGTATTTCCTATTTTTAGATTATACTGCAGGTATAATAAAAAATACTATAAGATACACGTGTATAATTGGTCTTTAAAGCACTTGCAACGTTAAAGGCACTCCGCTTTGCGTCGTGCCCTTAAACTCGTTGCGCGTGCTTTAAAGACTTGATTATACACTTGTATCTTAATATACTATTATAACGAGTTTTCCAGAACTTTATAACGAGTTTTAATTTTCGGCCGCTTTGAGACTAGTCTCATTCCATTTCCTTTTGAAGGTGCAGGTGACTGGACTAACTTCACTTTAAATACCACCTTTTGGTCAATTTTCTCTTCTTGTTAGCTTGTAATTCTATTTCTTCAGCTTCTTCCCGAAAAACGATGGTCGCAATTATTTTTTTTTATAACTCACTGTCCCGCAACACAACCACAGCGAACGACAGAACCGACGCGAATGTGTAGCTTCCATTATTTCTAGCGCCAGGAAATAGCGCCTGAATTACGCTCCAAAGCTGCAGCTGTAGCACCAGCATAAGAGAAAAAGGCGCTTTTCCCCGCCGCGCGTAAGTCGGCGTCGGTCCATTACCTTTATATTTTCTATAATAAGCGAAAAGCCTAATAAATCATATCCAAACTGTCACAAACAAATTAATGAGCACATGATAACTGATAAGTGCCAGAAATGCTTTGAACCATCAGTTGGACAACCGATCTTTCTTGTCGCAGTTAAATTTCTCTGTAGACAGTTTCCTATGTGATATTTGTTTCTATGGAAATTGATTGTTAGATACGTTCAACTAAGACACGAAAATCCCGCCATTCGTGTGAAAAATGGTAGTTGGTGTTTTGTGTTTCGTAAGTTGTTAAAACGAAGTTTATCGCATATTGCAAATGAGTTTGTATGGCTAGTTTATTTTAAATGGTTGTATTGACAATCGTAATTGAGACTTGTGCGAGACATTTGAAATTCTAATGTTCGTCAGCTGCAGCGCTGTTCCCATAATGTAATTCTCTATCACTTTTTCTCAATCTGCACAATAGTTATTTACATAAGTCAGGAAAATGGCACATTACTGGCGAGGAAATATTGAAGTACAAGACCCCTTTAATTTTCGAGTCAGGTAATGTCATTTTACTGACGAGTTTTGTATTAAATTTTACCCGAAATTGTATTTTAATATAAAATATCAATTTTTATATACAACTTTTGATTAATGTCAATCTGTCAGTGATGACAGGAATCATTATAGACGTTGAACAATGTCACAGATGCGGCCGGTAAAGTGACAAGCGGCAGGAAACGTAGTCTGCTCTGCCTCTGTCATGGAAACTAAAATGTCCTGACAGAAAGTAGGCATGAAAATGAAGGTTTCGCGACGATTTGTCTGTTATCATCTACTTTGTTATTAATAATAATAATAATAATAATTTTATTAATGTTAAACGTAGAACAGTCTACTTACATCCTTCAGAGCTCTATTATAATAACTAAAGTATACCTACTAAACTAAAAAGTTTACATATTTTGCAAGTTGGTGCAGAGAAATTCACTGTATGAATAAAATGCGTTTTTTGACAGAAATAATTTAGTCCTGTTTTTAAATGAATTGTAAGGTAAACATTTAATGTTCGGTGGAATACAATTATAAAATTTTTTTGTTATGAAATCAAAACTATTTTGGGTTTTAGTTAATCTACAATAAGGTACAGATATACAATGTTTGTTGCGAGTATCATATTCATGAATATCCAATTTTTTTTACAAATTTCTGCTCATTGCGTTTAGCAAAACAGAGGCATGTATGTATAAAAATACAGGGCAATGTGAGAATTTTATAACTAATGAATGCCTGACGACAATCTGCTTGAAATGGAAGATGAGCAATGATTCTTACATCTGATTAATTAATCCTTTGTTAATTATGACATAATTTTGATGTCGTAGCTTGTATCATTCCTTTATTTTTAATTATGAAAATAATTGAGCACGTATAGTATCCATTTTCTGCTTGTGTGGCTTTATAATGGTACAAGCAAGCAATTTTAGTAGGTTGAATAGATTCAAAAAGCTCTTGAATGGAGTCCCAGATTAATGCCGTACACGTTTTTGTTAGTATGGTGGGAGTGAAATTAAAATGAGGCGAGCATTTTAAATCATAAGTTACGGACTTATAGTAAAGAAGCGGCGATATAAATCTTATGCTTTTGTATCTACAATAGATTACATTATAATATATGTACAGTTAATAACTGTCTGGGATATGAAAGATGTATTATATTCTGCCATTTTTGGAGTGTATAAGTATTTCGTTTGTATCTTGAACTGAAAAGCAATTTTACTAAGATAAAATCATCTAGTGGTTATAAACGTAGACGTAATTCAGAATATATCCTTTGTAACAAACGTGTCTTCTGCGTTTTCTGGTTTCATAAATAAGTAGAATTTATAGTTGCATGCACTTCGTGACTTCAGTTCTTAACGTCAACGGCTGCAGATGATGAGTCGTTGTCACATGCTACCGTCCCCCTTTATTTATCACTCTTTTATTATGTTTTTTCCGCGAATGTCACAAAGAAATGCAAAGTAAATTAGGGTACTCATTTTTGTGTATGAATTACAGATGCCCCACGTTGTGCTAAAGGATTTGAAGTGATGAGAGTCGGAGCGCTTTCTCACGAAGCTCTTACTGTTGATTGTCACGTCGATGCATTACCCGAGGTAACGCGGTTTTCCTGGACGTACAATACGAGCAAAGGAGTGCTTCCAGTGCAGGGAGCAAGAATACATAATGAAAACGGCGTCTCAACGTTACACTTTGTCCCGGGCACTGCGGATTTGGAATCTTTAGCCTGTTGGGCCACCAACAGTGTTGGAAGACAAGAAAAACCGTGCCTGTTTTACATAATACCCGCAAGTAAGCAAAGTAGTTTTAGTTACCCTGCCTACGGTTAAACATCGATTTTCTAATACCTACAAATGTTCCCCACTGTGATCACATACATATTCATAATTTGTGCCGAGTAAGAACTAACTTTTCTCTAATGCACCTAAAAATTTGATTTGTTTCACCGGTTTACGAGCTACGGTTTGGTGTACAAAGAGAAAGCTTTTAGTTGCAAGAAGAACATAGGAAGGATGTACACTCATCATTTTCTTTCATTGGCCATTAAAACAGTCCATTAGTCCATTTGGAGTATTGACATGAAACCGTATTAAACCTGACCCACATACGACGTGTGCTTTCTTATTGTGAAGAGACAAAACGGAAAACTTTCGACTTGCAAAAACAATTCATAACTTTAGGGTTAAATGTACTGAATAATATTACATAAAACCTGCGATGTGCGAAAAGCTACCATCTAAATTTCCCCTAATTAAGACTAACCCAGTTATCATTACATTATTCTGAAGTATGAGTTACAATAGGATGAGAAAGTGGAATGTAATATGAGATAATACACTCTAAATTACAATGAAGGGGGCAATTTTATAATTCCGGAAAATTAAAGTGCCAACCGCTCTTTAACGATATATACAGCGTGGCCAATTAATGAGAATTTGTATTTGATGCTTAAGGGCATGTTTACGTAATTTTATCAGACTAGAACAAAGATTCATATGTGACTAATTACATAAGAAAGGAGTTCTTGCCTTGTGGACGTATGGAGGCTACGCCGAACTGTGAGGTAGTCTCCGTTCATATACCACGAGCTACATTCTCCAAAACCCTCCTTGAAGAAGAAAGTTTTCTCCTTGCTGATATGTATACCGATTAATTCTAAGTTTCTCCTGTTATCAATAATGCACTGGAAGAAATTGAGTCACCACTTTAACGCAGCGTTACTACTTTCTCTTCATACTTGTTCATACGATGATTGGTAGAGAGTAGTCCCAACGTTGTGTTTTCCGCGTTCAACATCCCCATAAGCTGGTTGGAGTGTATCCATATTTTTATTTCTCTTAGTACATCTTTTAACCATTCTTTCGTGTTTTGATTGAATTGTTGGATATCATCCTCCCAGGACAGTCTGTTGTAAGAGTCTTGTGTCTTAGCGATATGCCCTCCTCCTACATACACATAACCTCACATTACAACCACAACAAAGTCAACCGCCCCATCAACATCCACATCTTTTAAAAAAAATTTCTTATGTTACCACCATTCATCCACTTATTATATTTTAACTTTGACGCTACGGCCTGAAGATGCCCTCCTCCTAACTTAATAGCTTTTAATGTCACAAGAAAAGTGCCTCTAGTTGATATGCCAGAGAACAGGGAAGCATATTCAGGAGTTGGAGGTAGACCTAGTTTGCCATAAGCTGCACCGCAAGTTGTTCGCTGATATTTCGTGGTCTTAAGAAGAGGTTACAATTAAGCCCGAAGGTACCCAAACTTGAAACTTAGATTCGGTGTACTTTTTTTTTAAACAGAGAATTAGGGAAATGTCCTACCGCACACCGTCGCCCTGCATCTTTTCGCGACGGTAATGTGGGGCTCACACCCACTAAACCCCTTCTCCCTTAATCTCGAAGATATCCGCCTCTGAGCATCGCTCAAGCATTCTTCCAGAGGGGTCTCTATCCCCTATTCCCTTCTATTATCTAGCTTCTTTTTCTCCCGTGCCTATTATTTTCACAATTAACTGTGCTACTATTCTCCATTTCTTTTCACTTTCCAGCATTGTTTGGATTATGTTATCCTTTTCTAGATCCGATGTACCTAACACGAAGCGGTCTTGGAACTAAAACTTGATCCCTCGAAAAATAATAACACATTACGAGTCTACCCCCGAGAAAGTAAACTGTTAACAATTCCTATCTTTTATACTTGTTTGTTCATCAAACAACTGTTAAAAAAATAACGATTCGTTATAAATAACAAACGACGTTCATCGTGTGAACCCTTCTCGTGAGTTGGTACTTTGCTCTGATCTACCTAGATGAAATGCTAAAGATGCTTTGTAGTTTAGTTTAAATGTTAAAGAGTGTTGACGAAATTCAATTACGTTAACGATTTTTACTCTTTGTAAAGTTCTTAAGCGATTCCTTTTTATAGCTACCAGTAGCATAACGTCAGTAAATTTAAAGTATCTTCTACTAGTACAGATTCTAGTTCATTCAAATGTGTTTAGCCTGACGTCGGTGATTGAGACTGCAGTATATTAATAGCAAAGGGCAAGGATATTTTGAAATTTCAAACAAGAATTGAAACCGTCATTTTATTTTAGTTGTTTATATTTCAATGCAGCTTTATTCAAATGTTATCGTGACGAGCGTTATTTTCACATTCCCGGGTACGAAGACGTCGGAACGTTATAAATTAAAAATGCCCTTTTATAAAGTTTTTGTTTTCCCTCATTCAATTTGAGCCATTTAAGCTATAGAAAAAAGAAAAGATGATAAGATGATTGTTGTTAAGCTCAAGGGAATGAATACCTTCGATTATATTGGTAATTTTGATTCTTATGTTTAAGTTATTTTGAGTGTAACACAACCACTCAGTGAATTAATCGTGTATTTAAAGCCTACATTCCAGTAAGATATAAGTAAAAGCTTTATGCGGGTCACTCTGTAATGAGGGTCTAGAACAAGAGGGACAAATAAAATTTAATTTAAAATAATACAAATCTAAACTGCAAATGCTTTACGTTCATAATTGTTATTAATGGGAAGTAGACAAGACAATCCAAGTTGTATTGTCGACCAGAAAGGTTGTTTCTTAATTTAATAATTTGAGTTCATTTCGTTAAACGGTGCCTAATTCAAATTTTACCGATTTTATGGAACTCGAAGAAGCTTTTCTATTGCTTTTAAAAATGAGGTAATGTGTTCTATCTTGATTGGCAAGGGTGTCAATATGAAATCATATGTATTCATTACATGTATTAATGGCATACGAATTTGAAAAATTACTTAAAAATAGAACTGATCGCTCAACAGACGTATGATATACGTTTACACGCTAGTTCTAACCTATGTAAAGAGAAAATTGCGGGGACAGACGTTACCAATCATCGCCCAAAATCTGTCGTTATCTCTAGGTCTACTAGAACAATTGGTAAGAATCCAGATACGGGTCGATGCGAATTAAAAAAAAAATTGCAAAAATGCTTAGAAATGGTCTGTTTTTTCGAAAGGTGGTAGTTTTTTTTGCGCAAATGTGCCCGGTTTCGCACAATTTACAAAAAAACTGTTTGTAGTAGTTCCTTGAATTGGAATTTGGAAGTTTAAGACATGTTGTTTGTGTTATAATTATATCGTTTGTAATTTATATTTTATACTAACTATATTATTAGATAATAATGACAACTGTAAATATGCCTGTTTATGCATACTACAAGAAACTATTAAACTTAATTGTACAATAGTTGGCGCTACGTGTACATCATAAAATCAATAATTTTGCTCTATATATTTTAGCGTTTAGAAGGGTTCCAATTGATTTCTGCTTAATTTTCGTAATAGAGAAACGTAAGTAAAACAATAACCTAAAATAGTTACATGTGCTTCATTTTATTAAGAGAAACTTTACCATAACAATAACTTACGATAACGCACAGTGCAATGATCTAAAGAATGCAATGATGCAATGTCTCCTTAATGATTTGTAGAAGAACCCACTGTCCTCCGATTCTTCGTCCATGGTTGTACTTCCGGTTCTTCGTTTCGTCGATCTCAATCGTGACTCCTTTTCCACCTAAAAACACAGAACGGCGGGTTATATAATCAATACATACCTCTTTGCAAAAGTTGCTCCAATCGACGACCGTAGTCTGGAAGATGGTAAGCTGCTCCGTGACGACGGCTTGTCTGGGACGCGGGGAGATCGGTCAGTAAGCAACGAAGCGGCAAACTGTCGCAATATCCTTCGCAGCTCGTTCGAAGAAGGTGCCGGACCTAGCTGAAACGGAATAAGAACAACGTTTAGTAATCTTCTTCTTCGGCACTTTCCACGTACGTCGACATCTAAAACGGAAACGGTATTTTTGATTTGGAAATACAGTCGTCAAAATTTTGGGTTAGCCCTTCACCACTTATTTCCCTTCAATGTTACGATAGTCAATAACTCATGCCCTGAATAATTTACTTTCCATGTCGACGAATCTAACGAGACATTTGTTCATTGTAAAGAAGGTCACATGATTCCTGAAGTGTAATAGCGGAGCCAAGGTGTTCATGCTTCATATTTGCGAGAGCCCGGAGACATTTTTGGGCATTTCGTATACCACCAGTGAGCAGCTTGTTGATATTAGGGGAGTTAGATATCGAAAGAGTCACTAGCGTTTTCTGGTATTAGATATGAGTGACCTAATATTACTCTGAGATTTGGTACCCAAATAAAGTAATGAAATTGTTCGGGCACCCATTTGAGAAAGTTTTTGTAAATGTTGTTGTTTTTGTTGTTATAAGATTCCAGTCGAGCCTTATTTATGGAATCCTTTGGGTGAAAACAACGCGTGTTCCTATTCCTGCCAATCGTATGACTTCAAAGCTGTCACTCTTGTAGTATAATAGACAATCTGGATTTGCAAATGCACAATTTTCGAAATGTTTGCATCTTCACCAGATTCATTCTTTTTGCGGTAATGAAAAATACAGAAATTCATACAAAATTTTAACATTCTTAAAATCTTCAATTTCCATCCATGTTTATTCCTTGAAAAGGATTGTTTACACTGTACATTCGTGCGCGTTGTTGCCAGTCCCATGCCGTCATTATCTTAAACGGGCACATTCCTTCTGTGATCTCTCAATAAGAGCATGACATGAGTCTACTTCTAATAAGTGCCCTCACTTGGTTTTTTGTTTTCCTTATTTATATAAATTTGTTATTTCGAACTTTCCGCCTAATTACACTCCTTTTTAGCGCATTTCCACAAAAATAAAATAAAAACGCGCTATTGTGGCCACT